ACTCAATTCGCTTTCTGGTTGCTGGTTCCCTGGGTTTTCTGAGAGTGGTTTTTGTGCCGATTTTCCCCTTGTTTCGCTTCCGAGCCAAAGGTAATTCAAAAGCGTACAGATTCCCTTGGATTTCCCCCCTGCCCCTCTGCTGCCATTCACAGATCACTCCCTCTTCCACATTGAGGTCGTTCCGCCCACTATGTACCTTCTGCCAATGGCAGACTGCCATTCTTCAGTGTGCCCCTTGTGCCCCTTCAGTGTGCCCCTTGTGCCCCTTGTGCCCCGTGGCCCCTCCCCCAGCGTGCCCGGCGTGCCCACATCACTTCCTGGTGACGCGCACGCAGGGGTGGGGTTTCCCCCGGGGCCCGATTCCACGGCATCGGAAATCGGGCCGCCAAAGCGGGGGTTTACCCGCCCCCCGCCCCCACTTGGCAGCCCTAATTGAGACTGGGAAACCGCTTGAAGGAAAATGGTAAAAACCCTCTATCCCTGTACTATGACTCCTGTTTCAGTTCCTCTGCTACCCACCCCCAGCTGCTGAGTAAAAACTTTTTAAAAAAATTATTTGGCATTTGTTTGATTCTGACCTCCAGGAGAAAATTGTTGCTCCTAAAGAAGTGGAATCCATTGAGATGGAAGAGGAGGAAGAGGAGGAAGAAGAGGGAGAAGAAGAAGAAGGAGATAATGTCGAAGAAGCACAGGAATTATTAGACGCAGTTAAAGAAAACATGGAGCAAAATGGAGGTAAATCTAAAAAAAACCTGCCTATGTTTTCCAAAGACCTTTAGTTTATTTTGTTAAATAGTGGGTTCCATGGATGAATAGACCACAAGCCTAGTGATTAGTTCTACTTTATTGGTGATTTCAGCAAGCAGAAGACAAGACTTCAGAGTCTCAGCTCTTTTAAATAGCATGCAGTTGCCACACCCAAACACACCCCACTCCCAGTGATAGGCTATTTACATAACATTACTACTAGATTGGTTACCTTCAGAATCCTAGCAGGCTGTTGTTCTTTTGCTCCAAGCTCAGCCAGTCTGTGGGGTGATTCAGTCAGGAATGATTCAATCCTACTACATAACAATTTTTCTCTACCTTCACCTTTTCTCTCTGTTAGGGGCAGGGTAGACACTAACTTTAGCCACACCCCTTGGAGATGGGGAAGCCGCAACAGATCTATTTGGCCAGCCACTGCTGGGAACAGGCCCTTTACAGCACTGTCTGACACAGCTGCGCTGAGGTACACTGCTGAGCCCTTTAAGGAGCCTTGGCCTACCAGTCCACTCCCTGGCAGCCTATTGGGAGCACCAGGGAGGAGCAGGATTAGTGTTGCCAGCTCTGGATTGGGAAATTCCTAGAGATTTGGGGGGTGGAGCCTGGGGAGGGTGCGATGTGGGTGGGGAGGGGAGGGGAGGGATTTTACAGGGTGTAATCCCATAGAGACCGACTTCCAAAGTAGCAATTTTCTCCAGGAGATCTGTTTTCTGTCATCTGGAGACCAGTTGTAAATTCAAGGGATCTCCAGCCACCACCTGGAAGTTGGCAACTCTGTGCTAGATGGCTTCAGCACTACCTTTATAAGGAAGGAGGAAGAGGGTGAAGGAGGACGATCTGGCTGTGGGCCCAGGCTGTGCAATAGTTGAACTAGGGAACAGGAGGTGGACCTTGAATCCCCCTCCCCAATTCTTCTCTGGTTCTGGGTACAAGGGATCTCAGGAGTAAATGTGCTCAACCATCAACCATGGAGGTGAGAGCACGGCCTCTGACACCCTCATTATCTTGATTGCTTTTAAGTTGTTATTTTAGTAATGCTCGATTTGTGGTTTCTCTCTCTCTCTCTCTCTCTCTCACTATTATTAACTGCTATTTTATTGGCGTCCCTGGCTGGTTTTACCTGTTTTTATGGCAGGTTTCAACAGATATAATGGCTGATTTGTTATTACATTGTGATTATTAAAACTGATTTTTTAATTGTTTTAACTCTGTGTTGGCAACTGCCTCAGGAACTCTTTTTGGGTTAAGGGTACGTGGTTTTCACTCCCAGGCAGACAAATTAATTCATCAGCAGTAAAACAGAAACCAACGTACACTTGTGTCACTTGAATTTTTATATTAACTATTCTATATGTCATAGCACTTGAGACTTCTACGAAACTACTAAGCATGTGATGTGGCTAGAGATTTCGACTGGGGAGGTCTGAGTTCCAAACCTGCAAGCTGTAGAACTCTCACAGACTGACCTTGGTCCAGTCCCTCTCTCTCTCAGACTGACCTACCTCACAAGGTTGTTGTGAAGATGAAAAAGAATGATTTCCATTTAGTCCACCTTGAGGTCCTTGGAGGAAGGATAGGAGACAAATGAGATAAATTAAAAATAACAAGTATTTTCTTCACCCAAAGAGTGATTAACACATGGAATTCACTGCCACAGGAAGTGGTGGGTGCTACAAGCATGGACGGCTTCAAAAGGGAATTAGATAAGCATATGGAGCAGAGGTCCATCAGTGGCTATTAGCCACAAGGTATAGCTAGGGGCTCTGGGGCAAGTGATGCTCTGTCTTCTTTGGTGCTTGGGGGGGGTCAACAGTGGGAGGGCTTCTAATGTCCTGGTCCCACTGCGGGACCTCCTGATGGCACTGGTATTTCTGGCCACTGTGTGACACAGAGTGTTGGACTGGATGGTCCTTTGGCCTGATCCAACATTGGCGTCTCTTATGTTCTTATGTTCTTATGTGATGTGGCTAAAGATTTCAACTGGGGAGGTCTGAGTTCCATACCTGCAAGCCGTAGAACTCTCACAGACTGACCTTGGTCCAGTCCCTCTCTCTCTCAGACTGACCTACCTCACAAGGTTGTTGTGAAGATGAAAAAGAATGTTTTCCATTTAGTCCACCTTGAGGTCCTTGGCACCTGTGACTGCAACCACACTAAGGGTGCAGTCACACTGTCCCTTTGATCGGGATTCGCTGCTGTTTCCTCCCGCATTTAAATTTTCTGTTCACATGCGCCAATCCACCTCCCACGATGAAGCAGGCTCACTCTCGCAATACTCTCAGGTTTTCCTGACCCCGGGAAAATCGAGTACTTTCCTGGATCTTGCGCTTTGAACGTACGATTTCACCTATATGGACAGCCCCCTTTCGCAATGATCGCGAATAGGGCCGTCTGACTGCTCTCTGTAGGTTTTTTTTTAAAAAAGCTTTCGGTTTGACTGCATGGGCATACATGCGCTTAATAAATCCATTTTTTAAAAAAATGTCAGTGCCGGTGGCGACTGGGCCAATGGCAAGGATGCCCCGCAGCCGCCCAGGGGCAGCTGCCGCCGCTGCTGGATGGGGACGAGGGTGAGGGGGACGGCCAGCAGCCGGTAAGGTGGATGGCTCTGTAGACATCCAAACCCGCGGCAAAATATTCCCGTTTAAATTAAAGTGGGAACAAGGCGCAATTACCGTGCCGTGTAACCACAGCCTAAATCCACTTTCAATCAAATTTCAGTGCACTTTTGAATTGGATTTTGCCTGTTCACACAGTAAAAATCCAGTTGGAAAGTGCATTGAAAGTGGATTGAAAGTGGATTATTTAGCGTGTGTGACCGCAGCCCTAGACAGTCTTGTTCTTCTATGCACATGTTTTGTTTTTATACTGCAGAATGGGTGCAGTTTTACTTTACAGAAGAGGGTGGGATGGGAAGAAGACACCTGTATTTAGTAAAACAAGATCTGTCTTACAAGCCTTCTGGTGAGATATTTCATAAGGGCACTGTATGTTATACTTAAGTGAAATTGGACAGGGCTCCTGACATTCCAGCATCTCTTCCATTAAAGCGCTTCTAAAGTGTGATGGAATGTGAGGAAGAGGCTTTTATAGATGTTGCAAAATTTGAAATATGTGTTCCTCAGGCACCTCATCTTTCTAACACACACACAGAAAAGATTCATAGTGGATGTTTCGCTTTTATATTAGGTCGTCTGGATGACAGCTATGTAATTAAATTCATGAAGGAGATGCTGACGTCTATGCCATGTAAGAATCAAGGGTATGTTTTGGATGGGTTTCCAAAGACCTATGACCAGGCAAAGGATCTTTTTAACAGTAAGTGTTAATGCTCTGCTGTGTCAGTGATTCATGTGCAATGGATAAAAATCCGTGTGACAACTATATCATTTCCTGAGACCATTTAAGCAGGAGCAGTCTGCTCATAGGGTTTCACTGAATTATGTGATCATTTTAGCCTTTTGCATTTTCTTATCTGATTTGGCTGAAATTTCCAGGGGGGGATCTGCCAGGGGATGGAGAAGAAAGGAGCATTTATCTTCTTTCGTGTGCTGCCCCCCAAAAAACTTTCCACTGCTGAATGTGTCCCCCCCCCCCGGGGGGAGAAGCTGCTGTTACCCACATTTTTGTTATGTAGCAGTGGTAAAAGGCAGTTTGGAGGGTGGCAGCTTCCAGTGGGGAAAGACAGGAAAAGTTTTTTCTCATACCAGTCATTCCCCTGTAAACTGCAGCTCTGGGTGTTTGTTTGTTTTGTTTTTTAAGGCTGGAGAAATTATCACAAGCTACAGGTTACTTTGGCTGCGATCACACACACTCAATAATCCACTTTCAATGCACTTTCAGTGTGCTTTCCAACTGGATTTGGCAGTTCACACAGTAAAAGTCCAGTTGGAAAGTACATTGAAAGTGGATTATTGAATGTATGTGATCGCAACTTTGAGTACCAACCTTAGTACAACTTTTAATGCTCGTTTTAATATTTCTCTTAAGAAAATACTGTTTTGTATACAAATTTGTTAAAGGTTTGTAAAAAAGAGCCTCAATAGTATCTGACAATACAGGAATATTACAATAAAGATGTTACCAAAAAAAAATCAATCCTCATTGATAACGTTAAAAAAAATGGTTGCTAACGTATTAATTCCATCACGCTTTAAATCAATTCTGTAAGGTTGCTAGACCAAATTAATGTTGAATATTTGGAAAGATGCATACATCATCTTGAAATCTGTCATTCCAAAATGCACTGAAGCCAGGCACAGATTTTCTTTGATACCTCCCTTTCAGGCTTATACGGATAGTTTTAGTCATTATAGCTACATCTAGAAAACTAGAAAATATGACTGAAATAGGAGGCATCCATACTAAGTTCTCGAGCCACACAAGCTACTTCTCTCAGAGGAACAGACTATTCTTGCCTCCCTCCCACCCCCATGCAGCCCATTGATCTCCCTGAAATTTTGCTCTTGGGGGACAGGAGACTCTTAGGAGCAGCAGGAAAGGCATAGATGATGGGGAGCACCCGTGAATCTGTATCTATATGCTTTTTCATCCTATCTCCTCCCCCTCTCTTGTATATAAGCCCCCCCCCCAAACACACACAAACATTTCATTTTTGTTGCTGCCCATGTTTGTGCCAGAATGTTTTGCTAGTCACATTTAGCACAAACCACAGATTTCCAAACCTACTTCCAAGGCCCACTTAGAGACTAAGTAGTGAAGATGCCAGTGTAGGTGTGACCTTGCTGTGTGTGAAAGAGAGGGGAAACCTGGTGTGCAAAGGGAGTGAGGAGAGAGGGAAGGAGTGTCACGTCTATGGGGGTGCTGTGTGTGTGTAAAGTGCCATCAAGGTGACGGTTGGCAACCCTGTACGGTTTTCAAGGCAAGAAGCAACCAGAGGTTTTTTTGCCATTGGCTGTGTCTGCATAGTGAGCGACCCTTGGACTTCCTTGGTGGTCTCCCATCCAAATACTAACCTGGGCTGACCCTGCTTAACTTCCAAGATCTGATGAAACTGAGCCTGCCTGGACCATCCATGTCAGGGCCCATGGGATGCTACTGTCATTTTAATTGCGGTTAGGAGAAGGGGCAACTTTAACTTAGATCCAGCCAGCTTTTTCATTCGTTCTTATTGCAGTTTTCATCCTTACTATCGCCCTTGTCCCACATGGCTTTTGGTCTGTAGTGGTCATGAGATCGTCGTCATAACCTTTTTGGGTGGTCAAAGAGACCTTCCCTCCCTTTTTTCAGTAGTTGGATGGATCCAGTATATTATGTCAACAATGGGCCCTAATGTACTGGCTGATACCAGGCCTGTTTTATAAGCTTTAGGATCTTTGTTGGTTTTAGTGGGGGCATCTTAATTACATGGTTTTTTTTTAATATTTAAGTTGAAGAGGAAGAAGAAGAGGATGACATGAGAGGCAAGGTGCATCGCTATGACAAATTAATAATTCCTGGTAAGTTGTCTGTACTTACAGCTGAATTTGATATACCCCAACTGCAAACCTAGATTTGTCTCCTTCAGGTGGAAAGGGCAGGTAGTGCCACTTTTAAAAACAAAAGGGGAGGAGTTTACCTATGCACGACCTCTCTCTCTCAACACTTTCCTTTCAGCCAGGTTGCAAAAAAAAAAACAAAAACATGGGAATGGGTGCATATGGAGGTTAAGTATAGACGGGGTGTGTGTCCGCACTCCTCCCCCACATGCTGCTTGTAAAATCTACACCCCCGACCCCTTGTCATGCGTTGATGCGACAGTTCAGTGTTAAAACCCACAGAACTGCTGCTGCCACATCCCGCTTGTCTTTTTAAAAGGCGAATGATTGTCACTGTTAATATTCTGCGTCCCTCCACCGAAAACCAACAGATCGTTTTACAGACAAATTTTACAAAAACACAGCAGTGTCAATTTGACAGCCTTTTTGATCAGGTTTATAGTTCTTGTTGAATGTTGACAGTTATCTATATGTTGACCTCTGAAATTCTGTGAAGAAACACAAGTTCAAACCCAACTGTGACTCAAATTTCACAGAAGCACACTGTGGCCTCCTTCACTATTGAAAAGTCTATGGTGTATTTCAGAGGACCAGACTATAGCCGTTTTAGAACCATATTGTTTAAACTTTGAATTACTTTTCCGTTGATGACACTCAACGTAGGCAATAAAAACCATCATCATCCTGGTCTCTTTTTTTTTTTGCCATCAAGTCACTGCTGATTTATGGAGAACCCTAATGGGGTTTTCAAGGCAACAGAATTTCAGAGGTGGTTTGTCATTGTCTGCTTCTGTATTGTACCCCTGGACTTCCTTGGTGGTCTCTCATCCAAATACTAACCAAAGCTGACCTTGCTTAGCTTCCAAGATATGATGAGATCAGGCTAGCCTGGGCTATCAAGGTCAGGGTGAGACGAATGGAGGTGGTTTGCCATTGCCTGCCTCTGCATAGCAACCCCGGTATCCCTTGGCAGTCTCCCATCCAAGTACTAACCAGGTCCAACTCTGCTTAGCTTCTGAGATCTGACAAGAGGAGGCTAGCCTGGGCTATCCAGGTCAGAGGAATCAGGGTCTATTTCACACATTATCACTTTTTAGGGATTCTTTCTTGGCATTAAGGATTGATCTGTAAGATGCTTTAAACATCTAATAATGTAAATGGGGAATGCAATAAACAAATGGCCAGGCTTGGCTGCCAAGTCACTGCTTGGCAAACTGTTGCAGGATAATAAATACCCCTTGGGTCCTAAGGGGTGCTGGAACCACCAGTCCCCTTCTTTAAGTTCAAGTTCGGTAGGAGACAGCTGACCAATGTCCAGATCCCAGAGGTGGAGGAGAGAAGAGAGAGAAGAAGAGAAGAGATTGGACAGTCCTTTTACTTTATTCAGCTAAATACTAAGATAACCAAAATGCCCAACTGGCAGTCAGAAAAGGCAACCCCTAGCCCCTCCAATTGGCACCTTTTATACCCTTTGGTTGCCCAGCGCTTCCAAGGTGGGTGTCACGAAGAATGTCACAGAAGTAACAGCATCATAACTAGAAGCATCATAAACTGTAACTAACTGTGAGTTATCGGGACAGATCAGGCGTCATTCAGATAGGACCAGAGACAGGCCCTGACTTCAATCCACTGAAGTTTACACTTTGAGCTGGTACACACTGTCTTAGATAATGCAAACAAATGTGGAGAGCACAGTGCGGCCAGTTACAGGATGTTCCCGAGTCGCAGGCAGAGCTGAACTGCAAGGCTTTCTTGGTCTGAACCAGAGTCCATACTTAACTAAAATATAGGCCTTAGCAGCCTTAGAGAGTATATTGAGAACAGAAATTCTCATGTCTCCATCTAAACCCAAAATTCTGCCACACAAACCACCTACTTCTTTCTCCGAGTCACTGCTTGGGCAAACCACCTACTTCTTTCTTCTCCCATGATTAACCCTTTCTTTAGTTGCCCCCCCCCCCTCAGTTGGTAGAGTATAACTGGCTGGAGGAGTAGGAGTCTAGCCCCTTGATACCTCTGGAGCCTCATGCTGGTTCTGCCTCCTTATTCCATTCACCACCTCGCTTGGCTGGAGCAGATGCTGTTTCACACCTTTGGGGATGAAGGAGTCCGCTGGCCCCCTCCTGCCCTTACTTCACCTTTGGTAATGTGGTTCTGAGTAGGATGTGGTATTGGCCTGGTACAGAACATAAGAAGAGCGCCACTGAATTGGACCAGTGGTTCATCTAGTCCAGCATCCTGGCTCACACAGTGGCCAGCTAGTTCCTTTGGAGGTCCAACAACAGGGCATAGAGGCCGAGGCCTGCCCCGGATGTTGCCTCCTGGCACTGGGATTCAGAAGTTAGCTGCCTTTGAATGTGGAGGTTCCCCTCAGTCACCATGGCTAGTAGCCATTGATAGATCTATCCTCAATGAATCTGTCTAAGCCCCTTTTAAACCTGTCTATGCCTAGCATCTTAGTAGCCTCGAGAAATGGGCATTGCTTTCTTTCCCAACCTCGCAAGGTAGGCCACGGACTTCAGAGAAAACTGTGGGGTTAAGGGACATTCTCTACAGGCAGAATGGAATTTTCCCGCCTTCCCCCCTCCACAAAATGCTGCTCCTGGGGCACAGGGTACCCTGAGGAATGACATGAGGGGGTCTGTAGAGGAAGGGGGGATTGGTGGAAATTGCCAGTTTAGTATGGATATGTCAAAGCATCACCCAGTTGCATTTTAGTCTTTGGGCAGTACTTCCACATGCCCTTTCCCCCCTGCATGCCTTTAAGGCTAATATTCCACCTTTGTTTAAAAGATATGTGAAAGGCTCCTGCCAGTTGCCTCATTTTTAAGATCTTCTTAGGAAGCCTTGCCCGAGGTATCCTTGCCTATATAAGATACAGAGTTGGTGACTAAAGAGAAGGCCTTCTCTGTGGTGCCACCCCCATGGTAGGATACCCCCCAGTAGCATGTTCACAGGCCACCGGCTTAATTAGATGTCACACAGCAAGTTAGTTAAAACAGTTTTATTCAACAGGTGTTTAACGGCAATGTTCTTACTTGTCTGTTCTATGGCTGCTATTTTATGCTGCTTTTAAAAAAAGCTTTATTTATTGGTTTGAATGGCTGCTTTTTTGCATTTGAATTGTATCTTATTGGGATTTTATTGTTCTTCATATTGCAAGTCAGTTTTGGTTGACAGGCAGGGTACAAGTGCTCAAAATAAGAGAACAGATGTGCGCTTACAAAACCAATAAAGGCGCACAGTCCTGTGGGAGTTAGATGCTTACATCAGTGTTGTTGTTTTTCAAATGCAAATGTTTCTGTCCCCAACAGGCTCACAATTTAATACGGGTAGAGGAGCCCAGGTTCGGCCCCTGGATTTTAAGAGTTGTGTGGTGAGATACTGCCATACAAAGTAGACCCCTTTGAAGAGGAGGCCTGTACAAACTGAGAATTGTCTAATGGTCCTTTTCCCCTTCCTTGGGTGCTTCATGCAGACGAAGAGTCAGGCATGGTAGTTCTCTTGAAATGGTGGGCTCTTCATCCTGGCGAATGCTCAGCCTCGCTTCGCCTGGTCCCAAACCTGAATGAGCCATCCTGCACTGGAGTTCTGCAATGAAAAGTGCCTGAGTAGGTGCAGATTGTTGCCATACTCCACAAACGCTCCGAATGTTTCTTTTTTCCGCAGACCATATTGTCTTCTTGAGTGCCCCTGAAGATTTCCTCAAGAACCGGATAATGAATCTTCCCGAAATTGTGGTAGCCGGGACCCATTATGCTCAAGACCGGTACTTGAGAGCCCTGAGCGTTTTCCGGGAGATAAACGCTGAAGATGAAACTGTCCTCAACTATTTTGACGAACTCGAAATACACCCGCTGAATATTGGTATGGTAAAAAGTGCAGTTAGTTCCCCCCCCCACAGCTAATAAAGTGGGATTAACCTTTGGTGCACTGTCAGATTAATATCATTCTAACAACTGAATGTTGTAAAGCCAGACTGCTTTTAATGAATTCTGATATTTCTACATGCTATATATATTTAAAATTAACCTGCAGACAACCTGAGGAAGCACTGAGAATGAGAATCGGTCAGATTCTTTTCTTTTCTTTTTAACAATCTATCAATTTCAGACTGAAATGCACTATTTTTCAATATCTCCTTTAATGGTCAACTCATTTGACCTAAGTCTGGCCACACTAAATTATATTTATTTATTTATTTGTATGTATATATTGTAAATTCTACTTTATTTCTAAATTTGGAATTAACCCTTGAAAAATTCTTAACTCCTTTATAAAAATAGATTCAGATGGGTAGCTGTGTTGGTCTGAAGCATTAGAACAAAGTTTGAGTCCAGTGGCACCTTTAAGACCAACAAAGTTTAGGTGCACGCACCCTTCATCAGATACATTGAAACAGATTTCTTCATGCCTTACATATGGGGCGGAGGGCTAGTTTCCAGGAAGGGCTAGTTAGAGTCAAGATGCATCTCTCTACCTATGTGTAAGGCATGAGGAAACCTGTTTCAATGTATCAGCAGGAGGAGGAGTTGGATTTATACCCTGCCCTTCACTTGGAGTCTCAGAGCAGCTTACAATCGCCTTCCTTTCCTCTCCCCACAATAAACGCCCCATGAGGCAAGTGGGACTGAAAGAGGTCTGAGAGAACAGCTCTGAGAAAGCTGTGATTGACCCAAGGTCATTCAGCTGGCTACATGTGGAGGTCTCACAGCTGTTCTCTCAGAGCTCTCTCAGCCCCACCTACCTCACAGGGTGTCTGTTGTGGGGAGAGGGAGGGAAAGGGCCTCCATAATTTAGAGGGAGGTTTGGCTGCCACACTGTGTACCCAATCCAGACCAGGGCCTTGAATAGGGTTCTCAAGTACTTACCGTGATCCGGCGAGGGAAACATGCTCCCCAGCCGGACCATTCCTCCCTGTAACACAGCATTCCGTCGCCAGGAAGTGACACTGGGCGACGCTCTGGCAATGGGTTGAAAACTCGATGGTACCATCGAGTTTCGAGCCCCATTGCCAGAGCGTCACCCAGCGTCACTTCCTGGCGACGACATGGTGCGGCGCGTCTGTTGTCCCCGCAGGAATGATCCTGCGAAGACATCTGTGTCCCCCGCCGAATCACGGTAAGTACTTGGGAAGCCTGCTGCCCACATGAATCTAGATCAGAGGTTGTTGAACTTTGTTGACCCTGTGAAACTTTTGGAATTTTAAGAAAAGATAATGTGCACCATCACAGAATGACTGCCATGAGAGGCTGGACAGAAAGACTGCCATATGGGAGGCAGCAGTCAGAAAATGTTGCAAAGTTTTAAGTCAGCCATCCTGCTATGATAGAGACAGCTGTTTCTGAATGGGTGTTCCCCGTCGACCAAAGCTGATACCCTCTGGGATCTTCTGAAGCATCTATTGCTAAAGTGAGGTGGAGGAAAGCTAGGACTGGCCCTTTACTTTAGGGAAGAGACGCTTTGAGGACACAGGAAGTAGGTATCAGGAAATACATCATCGAGCACCATGGGGCCCATAGGTACCACATTGAGAATCACTGATCTAGATCCATGGTTAATGTTATGTACTGAGCTCAAATAGTACCAGAGAACTGACCTAGCTTGAACACCAGAACAATGGACTACTAGGATCCTGAAGGGAACCTATTGAACGGGAGTTATCTTGTAAATAGCCTATCACGGGGAGTGTGTGTGTGTTGGGTGTGGTGCACGCATATAAGCTGGGCTTCAGCCCTGCATGAGTTGTCTTTTAGTTTAGCTGAAATCACTAATAAAGTATGAGCTGATCACTGTACGTGTCTGAACCCAGTATATTTCAGTTAAACAAAACCGTTGTGTGAAAGCAGTGATCACTCCGTAGATGTCCTTGTTTATTTTATTCTCTCCTAAGGTAGTTTCGAAAGATGACTATTATGATGGACATATAGGAATCGTGACATCCTGCACTTGCCTTGCGCCTTTTGCTATTTAAACTGCCTGATCTTAATTCCCCATTCAGCCGTGTTCCCTGCAGCACAAGATACTGGGTTGTATACAGAGTGTGCTGGCCTGAGTAGAAGGCATTTCTGCTCATGCTTTCCATTTCCACCCTAAGTTCCAGCCATCTACCCTTCATCCTCCGGCACCGTTCCAGAGGGTTCCTGGCCTGAGCCTCAAGAGGAGTGGCACGGAGAGTGGGTTTAGGGTTGCCAACTTTCACCATGATAGCCTTCAGTATACTGTTCTAATTAGGTTACCTCGGGAGGAAACATGAACAGAGTATTTCTGTGGTGTTACTATGAAAATATTGCCCCCTCTTGTTAAGGCAATAAGTAATAGGGCTGCCATATCCACCCTGGCCACCAATGGGGGGAAAAGGGGTAGGTTGCCAGATCCAGGTTGGGAAGCTCCTGGAGATTTGGGGATGGAGCCTGGGGAGGATAGAGACCTCAGGGTCTCTATGCCATAGAGTCCACCCTCCAAAGCATCCATTTTCTCCAGGGGGAACTGATCTCTGTAGTCTGGAGATGAGGTGTAATTCCGAGGGATCCCCAGGTCCCACCTGGAGGCTGGCATCCCTACATAAGAGTCAAGGTATTAATTAATGACAGGGCTGTGTGAATTAATTGTGTTCTCTGTGGTATAACTAACCAGTTCCTTTATTTCCAATCGTCTTGCTTGAAAGACGTACCTAAGTTTGAGGATGCGGAAAACAGACTTATAGTGAAGGAAATCACCAAGAGCGTTGGCGACCCTCGAAATTACGGTTTGACAGATGAAGAAAGGGAAGAACTTGAACGGAAACAAGCTGAAGAACGTCTGATCAGGGAGGCACAAGAAAAAGCTGAACTGGAGCGCAAGGAATCTGAGGAAAGGGCTCAGAAGCTGACAAACTGGGAAGACTGGGTAAGTGATCTCCAGTTCTGACATAGGTAGAAGCCAAAACCTTTGTTTTCTTCATCCCTTCTGCAGTGGGGATATGCCAGTTGCAGGTGAAAAGGAGCAACAAAGAGAGGAAGAGAATTCGTCACAGGAAGCACTGCTGCTGCTTCTTGAGTAAAGGGGGGAGAACTGCATCAATGGAAAATCAACAGATTTGTTGCTTCCTTTCTAATAAAGTTCCTTTTAGCCTTCCATTTGGGTGGCTAGATTAAAAAGCATCTTTCTTTTGGTAGGCCTAATAGTGTGGCTTTTATGCCTCAGTCCTACATGTGTTTCTGAAACCCCATTAATGTAATGGGATTGTTTCCAAAGTATTTAAAGGAACAGGAGTGTTCAGAAACGATGGCTGAGTAACACATTTGAATGTATTCTATTTATTTACTTCATTTATAGCCCACCTTTTCCCCCAGTGGGGACCCAAAGTGGTGAACATTGTTCTTCCCCTCCTCCATCTTATCCTGACAACAACCCTGTGAGGTAGGTTAAGCTGAGAGCATGTGACTGGCCCAAGGTCACCCAGTGAACTTCCACGGCAGATGGGGGATTTGGACCTGGGTTGCCCGAATCCTAGTCCAGTGCTCTAACCACTATACCACACTGGGCATCTAAGATAGGAAACTGCTTTATTTATCCGCTGGTCCATCTAGCTCACTGGTTCCCAAAGTGGGCAATACCGCCCCTTGGGGGGCCCTGGGATGATCCAGGTGGGCTGTAGGAGCCTTGAGTGCAATTGGGGGGCATTGAATAAAAATAAGGGGGTGGTGGAAGCATTTAGAAAGAAGAGCCCAGAACCTATCTAAAGCAGCCTTTCCCTGCCTTCTCCTGGTCTTCCCTGGGATCAGGGGGAGAGGGGTCCCCACAGCCAATCACTTGCAAAGTGCAAATGCATGTGCACCCTTGTAAAGGTGGTGTTGCTGCTGGGCTATTGTGTGGTGGTTGCTGCTGGCCTCTGGCTTCAGGCCAACAACATCTTTTTTATTATGTGCAAATTTGTCACTGCATCTTTCTGTCCACTTCTTGAAGGTAGATTTCCAGGGGGGGCTCTGAGTAGGTTTTTTTCTGAAAAAGGGGCGGTAGGCCAAATAAGTTTGGGAACCTCTGATCTAGCTTAATAATGGCAGGCATTCTCTAGGGTCTCAAGCAGAGAAGAGTTTTTCTCAGTCCCTGCTACCTGAAATGCTTTACCTGGAGACGCCAGAGATAGCAACTTGGAGCTTCTTGACACAAAGCATTTATTTAATCATATCATTTATATCTAGCTTTTCCATAATATAAAACACACATAAATACACGTATGACGCTTCCTACCTGATCCTTTTAGCTGGCGATGCCGTGGATGGAACTTGGGGCTTTCTGCAATGAAGGAGCTCTACCACTGGGCCACAGGCCCTCCCATAAAATCAGTTTGCAAATTTAAAACTCATAAAATGCAATATAATCCATGGAAACCGCAAGCAAAACAAAACAAAAGAATAAAACCCAGGGATAACGTAAAATCCTATTCCAGCGGTCCCCAACCATAGACAATTTTGGCATGCTGACTGTTACATATTGGGATTGAATCACCCCTGATTGAATATCACCCTAGAGACAGCCTGATTGAATCACCCTGATTGAATCACCATAGAGTCTGGCTGAGCTTGAAGCACAAGAACAATAGCCGACCAGGACTCTGGAATAAACCAATCAAGTAGTAATGTTTTGTAAATAGCCTATCGCAGGGAGTGTGTGTGTGTGCGGTGTGGTGTTTTGTATGCATATAAGCAGGGCTCCGGCCCTGATAGAATTGTTTTAGAGTTAAGCCAAAATCACCAATAAACTATGAGCTGATCACTATATGCGTCTCGAACCCAGTATATTTCACTGACATAGCATGGTGAGTGCCGCCACAAAATGGCTGTCGTAGCTTTACAATCAGTCACACAGTGAAGATCCTTGTGCTGTGGTGGCAACTTCTGCGTAGCCAATCAGAAGCCCTGCTGGGCAGAAGCCACACATGACTGTGCCCACTTTCTAAAAATGCTTGGCGAGTGCCAGGAAAGGTGTTGGTGGGCACCATGATGCTCACAGGCATCACGTTGTGGGACCCTGTCCAGTGTTCCCTCTAGGCTGTCGACTACTGGGAGCAAAAGTTCCACTTCGTGACCATAAAAGTTGTGGGTGAACTTAATTTTTTAAAAATAATTTCAGTCTGGATAGAGGAAGAAAGGGAGAGAAAGAAATGGAAAAAAGAAGTTGAAAGAAAGGGAGAGAAAGAACGGCAAAGAAAGGCAGAGAAAGAGATGGAAAGAAAGGGAGAGAAAGAAATGGAAAAAAGGGAAAGAAAGGGAGAGAAAGAAATAGAAAGAAAGGAAGATAAATGGAAAGAAAGGGAAAGGAAAAGAAATGGGAAAAGAGAGGGGAATAAATAGAAAGGAAGGTAAAAAATGGAAGGGAAAGAAAGAAAAGGAGAGAAAGAAAGTGAAACAAAAATGGAAAGAAAGGGAAATAGAAAGAAACAGCAATGCGGGCCAGGCCTGCCTCCCCGCCTCAATCGCTCTCTTTCACACACAAACACAAAACAGCATGGGGGGAAGGAACCACAAAGCCTGGCTGGAGCTCTCTCCTGCCCTCCGTCCCTGGCAAAGGGCTTCCCCCAAAACACCGCATGGCACTGGTGGTGAGAGGCCCTTGAACTCACCTGATGCAGGGCAGGGCAGCAGGTCTTGGGTGACAGCAGGGCCTCCAGTCCTGACTCTGAGCTCTCACTACCAGCCAGCACAACAGGAGGGCTGGTGCAAGCTCCTCCTGTAATAGGGCCCACAACCAGGCCCCGCCTGGACCTCCATCTGAAACAGTTGACCAGCTGAGCCAGGCCAATTGCTAAGCAAGAGGGAGGGGGGGCCACCTCCTTCTCAGACCTGCTGCGCTGGGATGAAAACCCCTGCGCTGAGGTCCTGGAAACTGTGGGCTAGCTTAACCCTAGCACAGCCTATAGGGAACCCTGACCCTGTCCTATTCAAACACCATCCAGAACAGGCATGTTTTAAAAACCTTCCAAAAGCGAGGGGCGAATCATGATGAAGGCCTTGCATGGCTGTCGTCCCCCCCAAGATTCACTGCGATCATGCGTGTTCGTGTATTTACATATCTCACAATTTATTTACTTCATTCCTTGGTTAGAGCCCTCTTTGAATGATCTCAGAGCATAGGCAGGAACATACAGGTGGTGGAGGTCCTTCAGGTACCCAAGCTGATTAGGACTCTAAAGATGAAAACCTGCACTTTGAATTGGGCTCGGAGAAGCATCGAAATCCTATGTAACTGGCATAACATTGGTTTAATACACTCATTTGTGGCACGTTTCACTTAAAGATTCTGATTGCCACGTTCTGACCCAGTTGAAGTTTCCAGACCAACCCCAGTAATCCAGTTTGGATGTTATTAAAACAAGTGTGACAGTGGCCAGATTAGGTGCTAGCAAACTCCTTGTCACCTCTGGTACCAGCTGATCCAGGGACAGAGGTGAGTTTAAGAGTGCTGGCAGGCTGGCTGCAACCTGCCTTTTCACTGTGTGTGCTGCAGCCTTACTAACCCATGGACTTTCCTCTCTCTTAGGGCTCCTGTACAGATAGCATGCACATCTACAACACTCTAGGCTAGCTGAGGGTAGATTATCACACAGATAGAACCAAATAGATAGATAGGGGCGCAGGCTACAGAAAACAGTCTATGCACAGTTGGTATGGAATTTTCTGAGACCAGGTTTTTGTGGAAATGCAAACGTATGTCTTGTGTAGGGTTGCCAAGTCGAAATATCTACTTACCGGGGGACTTCTGCGCCGCACAAACGTCACCCAGAAGTGACGTGACTACGCCAGGCATGCTGGGGGCAGGGCCACGACCATCCGAGGGAAACCCATAGAGTTTTCCCTCGGATGACCGTG